AAAGGTTCTACACCATCTGCGTCACACTTGTACGTACGGGTAATGTATCCACCATGTCCGTAGACCCACGAACAGGCAGAACCCTGGCTGTCCAATGCCTCTCCCGCTGGCTCCGCGCCCCGGGTTGCCGCCTCCTCCACGTCCACGTCCTCCTCTCCCGCCGTCCACCGTCCTGCTATAGTTGGCGACGCTTGCCTGCGGGGGTGCTCCCGCAGCCGCCTGTGGCTGGTGCTGCTGGGTCGGCTGAGGGGTGGGAAAGTGTTGAGGTTGTGGTGGAGGCTGGGGTAGCTGGGACGGCTGTGGCTGCCACCGCCGCTGGTGCCACTGCTATTGCTGCGGCTGTTGGTTTGGCTTGGCCTAGATTGGCGGTGACTCGGTGCGGGTGTGTGTTGTAGTTGCGGACGTTGATGTGCGCGAGTGGGCAGTCGGCGCGGCGGCAGACGCCTGCCTGCCAGAAACATTTGCAGAGCCCGCCCCGCACGCTACCGAGCCTGCTTGTGGACTGCTTCGTCCCGGACGCGTTCGCCGGGCATCCCGCGGCCTTCCGCTTGTTACTGGCGGTGGCGGGGATGACCCAGTGCTTGGAATTTTGTGCGAGGCTACTGGAGTGCTCCTGGCCTGTCAGGTTCTTGAGAGGCCGAAACGTAGGGGTCGGCACGACATCTCCGGAGCCGACGGCGGGCGGGCCGTCGGGGTAGCGCTGGTTAAGCGCGCAGCCTTGGAGCCCCAGGTTGTAGAATCCCTCGTCGATGCCGTTGTTGACGCCATCCACAAGGGCGTTGCGCGCTTCCGTGGCGTGAGGTGCGAAACGGGTGTACTTCAGCTGGGGGTAGTTGTTCGTAGCAGTACCGCACCTGTTGGTGTGACCTAGCAGCTGGTCAATGAACAAAATTGTCGGTTGCCCACAGGAGGAAGATCGAGAGAGTGAGGCTGTCACTCGGACACAAGACAGATCAAAGGACGAAGACGAACAGCCCAAAAAACAGTCCGAACCGACACACATCCAACCGTCACTTTGTGGAGAGGTCGCATCGACAGACGGTAGTTGAAAAGGCGATTCACCAGCAGGCTGAGTTGCAACGTCCATGACTTGATGCGAGCGACGCCAATGCCCAATACCTACTCGGTACCGAACTCGATTACGGTCATGAGCACGCTGGCGAACATGCGGAGGTGCACGTGAGAGGGCATGGCGGTGAGAACCCCTCCCGGTTTATAGACGGGAAAAAGTGCTCGATCTTGCAGTTTTTCAGCGAAAGGATTTCCTCCGCCACCTGCTTGGTGATGTGGGCCTTCTGTTTGGTTAGCAGCGCCAGCCGATCCTCGTCCATCTCCGGGCCGATGTCTTCGCTGCTCCGCAGAAGGAAAAACATGGGTTCGACCGTGGTGTTCCAGTACACCGTCTTCCGCTTCTCGATGATGATCTTCGCCCCGGCGCCTTGTCCGTTGGCCGGTGCGTTAGGCTGGGAGGCGGCGGCGGCGGCGGCCAGGGGGGGAAGCGGCTGGACTCCTCCGGCTGGCTGATCGGGCATGACACCCCCGCCGAGAGGTGCTGCGGGAGGTAGCTGGTGGTGCTGGTGCTGCTGGTGCTGCTGCAGTTGTAAGGCTGCGATCTGGAGCTGTTGGCGCTGTTGGCCCGCAATAATTTGCCAGAGCAGGCCCTCGATGCCGTTTTGCGCGGCGGCCGGGGGCTCGCCTCCTCTTGTCCCTTCGGGACCGGGCTGTGCGGGTGGGTTGTTTTTGGCGGCGTTTGAGGCGGCTGCGGCGTCGGCTTTGTTTGCGGCCTACGCCACTTATTAATCGGTTGAGACTGTTTTGGTGATGTATTGATTTCACGAGAGGTAGACGACCGTCCTTCACACGGACGAAAGGGGAAGGGCTCAAAGAGCGGCTCCCACAGCAAGGAGGGGCCCCGTGAATCATCGCGGGGCCCCCTATCAAACGGAAATCTTACCAGTCTGCATGACACCAAATCATCCAGCACATGTTTCCAACACCAATGTTCGCAGACCCATGAACACCCTCCCTGGTTCTTCACGCAAGTGACTAACCATCAATGGGGCAAGAACGCCCCTGGATACATCAGCAAATACCAACATGGTAATATATGGAGGGGAAACCGGGCATAACCCCTCGAAAAAACCCTTTCCACCACAAAAAACGTCGCTATCATATATTTAGCGGATCACAACGGCCGCACTTATTAGAAAGACCAAGGCGAAGACAAGAACGCGAGGAACTACGTTCCCCCGGACGATGGCCTCCCAACACCCCCTACTCCTGCCATTGGTACACAGACCGCAACAGTTATGCGCCTTTTCCCACATGGAACACATGACCTCTCCCAAGCGCTAGAAATCGCTACAGCTACCCCGGCAATTTCATCAGCTTGCGCCGGTGGCACTGCAGACTAGCCCTGCCAAGGGCCTTGGTTAGGAGGTCCGCGTGTTGCTCCGTTGACGGAACGAAGTTGACCGAAATATCCCCCGACCCAAACAATCCGCGGATGAAATGAGATCTCACGTCGATGTGTTTCGTGCGACCTGAGCTGAGGGGGTTCTGCACCAACGCTATGGCCCCCTGGTTGTCCTCAAGGACCTGGATGCTGCTACCACTGGCCTCTGGGGCAACAAACGAAAGCACAGCACGCACAAACAACGCCTCCTTGACGCCCTCCCCGGCAGCAATGTACTCGGCTTCTGTCGAAGACAGAGACACGATGCTTTGTGTCTGCTACCATGGCTGACTAGGTACATCCAACCGTCGTCGCCAACCCTGACACCGAACGCTTATCCTCCGTGTCGGTGTAGCTAGCATCTACGTACACGGCCAACCCTAACCCCGATCCCCGTTGGTAGGTGATGTCGAGGTCCCTCGTCCCTTTCAAGAAGCCGAGGATCTTCTGGATGGCATCCCAGTGCCTCTTCGCCGGGGCGTGNGTGTAGCTAGCATCTACGTACACGGCCAACCCTAACCCCGATCCCCGTTGGTAGGTGATGTCGAGGTCCCTCGTCCCTTTCAAGAAGCCGAGGATCTTCTGGATGGCATCCCAGTGCCTCTTCGCCGGGGCGTGGGCGTGGCGCGCTACCGCACGCACGGCGAACGAGACGTCTGGACGCGAGAACGTCGACACCCACATCATGCTGCCGATGGCCTCCCTCACCGGCCACTCTCCTCCCTTCTCGTCATCTCGCTTCGATCCTAGGTCGACACCAGGGGAAGCAGGGATGCGGGAGGTCGATCGTACATCAAAGCATTTCACCGTGCTATCAATGTACGCGGGTGGGAGGTCTATGTAGGGGCCTCTACATCTCTCTCAATGGCGCACCCGTCAAACCGTTCGCATTCTCCAAGATTTTTGGTGGGAAATTTATTGTTGAGAGAAGCAAGCAACTCCTCGCGATCCTCGTCAGACCCAGCCACCAAAATGTCATCCACGTAGATCATGCTAATCATCACCACGACTTTGTTTACCATCTTGCGGAAAACACACGGGTCCGCCTTGCACTGCTCGAACCCGTTCTCGACTAGCGTATCAGCAACGTGGTACCCCCACTGCCTACCGCTCTGCTTCAGACCGTAAATCGCACGCTCAGCCTTAACGATCTTATGCGATTTGTCCCCGCACCCAGCGGGGAGCCTCAGCAAAACCTCCTCGTCTAGCGTGGCGTGAGTGTACGCCTGCTTCACATCCCAGTGATTGAGGTTCATGCCCTTCTCGTTTGCTACCGCAAGCATCAGTTTAATGGATGCGGATGATGAGCAAGGGAAGGACGAATGGAAATAATCGACGTTCGGGATTTGCGAAAACCCCCTAGCAACCAGACGCGCTTTGAACTTTTCTATCTTCCCTTCCTTGTTGGGCTTCCAACTAAAACACCACTTGAGGCTCACAGGCCTGCGCCCCTCTGGCGCGCCGTCTACGAATGAAAACGTTCCCGTGCCCAAGTGCCCTTCAAACTCTTCCCTCATGGCCTGTTGCCACTCCTCGCTGTACACAGACTTGGCAACGCCGGCTACGGTCATGGGGGGGGGTTCTACATCACTCGGACGCTTGCCAATGAGGGATTCACTTAGCTCGTGGGACGCCAGAGCCGTCTCGAAGGCGTCTGGCGAGTTGAGCATGAGGCCCACCGCACCCAGCAGGAAGTCCTCCGCCTCTTGGCGCGCAGCGTGGGCCTCCTCCGCGCGCTCGAACAGCAACTCTCGCACCGCCCTTGCCTCTAGCCCTTCCGCCACGTGAAGTATCGCCGAGAGCATCCAGCTGGTGAACTCCTCCGTGCTGCTGACGGGCAGGCTCGCCGCCTTAAAGCTCTCTAGAGTGTTCGCGGCCTACGCCAGCTACTTATCGGGTGAGACTGTTTTGGTGATGTATTTACTTCACGGGAGGTAGACGATCGTCCTTCACATGGAGGAAAGAGGGAGTGCTCAAAGAGCGGCTCCCACAGCAAGGGGGGGACCCGTGAATCATCGCGGTGGCCCCTACCAAACGGCAATTTTACCGGTCTGCGTGACACCAAATCATCCAGCACATGCTCATTCATAGAGTTTTTTAAAACTCAGATTTGGGGCGGGAGGATTATTTTGGTCCATTCAGCAATTTCCCAAACATAATATGCCTGTGCCCCAGCCATGTTCAAAACTCAGCCGATGACGGAAAATCTGCGGACCGTGGTCTCCCACAAGGGACTGTAGGCTTGGGACGAGATCGTCGGTGTCGTAAGCTGCTGTCTCTGTCTCCTGTACACCCACGCACTTGCACGAAGGCCCTCGGTGCAGCCTTGCTGCTGCTACACGCCGTGATCGCTAGAGCTCTGCCTGCTGCGGCCGACGCAAGGTCAACCATGCTGACCCTTGACCCGCGGAAAAGAAAGTTGGCTGTCTTGATGTACCAGCGGAAGAGAAGCATCAACTTCTCCACCGCCGCAGCTCTCGGTGATGATGACGACGACGTAGAGGAGGAAGAGGAAGAGCAACCAAGACGTACCAGCAACAAAACTCAGTTCGAAGCTTCCACCGCCGCGGCAACGATGCGCCCGCTTACTGCTGTGGTGGACAGTCGTGATGCTGACGAGTTGGAGGAGGATATGCGTAGAGGTCTACACTATCGGCATACACTGAAGAAGCTCGGACCCCTACTCCCTGGCATCGGCNAGAAGCATCAACTTCTCCACCGCCGCAGCTCTCGGTGATGATGACGACGACGTAGAGGAGGAAGAGGAAGAGCAACCAAGACGTACCAGCAACAAAACTCAGTTCGAAGCTTCCACCGCCGCGGCAACGATGCGCCCGCTTACTGCTGTGGTGGACAGTCGTGATGCTGACGAGTTGGAGGAGGATATGCGTAGAGGTCTACACTATCGGCATACACTGAAGAAGCTCGGACCCCTACTCCCTGGCATCGGCAGGGGTAACAGCGCCGCGAACGACACTGCCAGTCGGGCACGTCTGCCCCTTCGGTTCCCTAACGAGGAGGGTGGGATCTATGATGCCCACAGTAGGTGCCAGATTCGATACAAAACAGGGATGGAGAAGGACGAGTTCGACGCCTTTTTATACGAAGACACGTTCCTGGATGCGGAGGGAAACCGTCTCGCCCGCACATGGCTGTTTGGGCAAGCTCGGAACAACCTCGGAAACTACTCGGCGGAGGACAACAAGGCCAGGCGGGTCATCCGGGGGAGCATGAATGACAGAGACCCAGTTTTGTGCTGGCTGGAGATGCTCAGGAGCGACACCTTGTTCGAGGACATGGCCCTCGCATATGGACGGTGTGCTGGGACGTATCACAACGAGTTCAAGGACATGACGGCGGCCGTGCAGAACATGCCTTGTCTGCAAGAGGTGAGGGTACATGCATTGGTTTGCAGTTGTATTCTGCAATACACTAACTTGACTCATGATACGCTGAAGAAATTCGGATTGGGAAGTGATATTTGGCATGACTCGAGGGAAGACTTTCAGGAATAGAGCCATGCGTACACCTCGTGTTACCGTAGACCCGTCAGCGGAAACAGGCCGACGCTCGACACCAGCACTAGCCCGTCACGAGCCCACTGCAATGTGCCATCAATCCCTTTTATCTGACGCGTACACGCTCCCTGTCAGCGCGTGGAGGAGTTGTGTAAGGAGAGTCTGCTGTGCGCGATAAGTTCACACTGTATTTCAACATGAAGTTGACACATAGGTTGGCTTCGCTTCCATGGTCGTGTGGTATAGGAGATCCAGTGGCCTGACGCAGCGGAGCGGGCAGCTCATTGCTCTTTCCTTCAAACCTGGGGTCACCCGGATTTCCCTCGTATAGCTGCCATCGTCGACGGCACCATGGTGAACATGCGGAACCCTGCCAAGGTAGGACTTAAAAGGCTAGCACCTACGTTGGTTGCTGGTGTGTGACATGCATAACGTGGGTAAAACCTTGCTTTGTGTTTTTCGCAGGGCATCTCGTAAGAATGGATATGCATTGGCCCGTGCGGATTGTCTGTCTATGCGACGTTGGTTTGTCAAGACCTGTGCTGGTTGCGATGGGCTATTGGGGCTCTGTTGGTAGGCCGCTCTCCCCCCTCTTCACCCTATGCTACAGTTTGAACTATTCGCCTTTCGTGCGCATGCGGGACATTTGTTCACACTCCCTCGCCCGCCGCTTGAATCCCGTGCAGGTCGGAAAGGGACAACCAGAGCCTCACGCCCCGGTGCATCAAGCGAACTACTCCGGAAACAAGGGCCTTGGAACTAGCCATATCGCCTACTGCAACGCCAGGGGCAAACCGATCCGGGTGCATAGTATACTTCGATCAGAGTCACAAATGCTATGTCGTCTTGAGGAACTCAATCGAGTTGCGGCCCTCGCTCCATCAGGACCACTCTGTTGTCAATCGATCAAAAATGTCTACTGGAGTAGACGTGCTTCCATCAATGTTGTGTGTTGGGCGACCGTAACGACATTCCAGTACGCTCGGAAAATGCAAGTCGGAATTCCGTGGCGCATGTTAAAGTGCTAATAAAAAGTTAGCCGGTATTGGGGGTGGGGGGGGCGTTCTACTCGACATACCTATATGCGCCGGCAAAGCACCCTCGATGACGTGAGTTTCGGGAAAAACCTTCGTCCGCGCAAAGCGTCAAGCACCCTGACGAAGATTGACAGTCACTACATAGGCTGATTCGTCTGTAGATTGCCGTATTGTTTGGGGTGAAGAGTTTTTCTACCTTTCGTACAGATAGTGGAGAACATGACAAGGAACCCACCACCTTCGTCCGCCTGTTGTCCTGGCGGGCGTGAAAACGTTGTGCAGATTGAGCCGGTGGCTGGAGCGCAATCGGACTGGGGAGCACATGTCGCTTCTAGGGTGTACACTCATCCTGAGGAGTTCCTGTCAGCCGACGAGGTCGGAATGGGGGACGGTGCCTACCTAGGGAACGCGCGAGCAGACAGCGACTTGCCCATGTGCATACCCTACAGGAAACCGCAACACGGGGATCTTTCTAATGAAGAGAGGCGGTTCAACACAGAGCAGCGCCGTTTCAGGGTCGTGGTAGAGAACATCATAGGCCAGATTAAGAAGTGGAAGGTAGTGGGCAATGGCAAGGCTTTGAGGCACCGACGGGACTTCGAGAACGGCGTGTTCAACGTGTGCGCTAGGCGCACAGCTCGGATCATGAGGGTTCGCGACAGGTATCCGCGCAGCCCGGACTGGACTGGACCCGTGAAGGAGGCCTGGGAGGTGAAGCTCGGAATCCACCTCTACTGGGACTACGAGGACCCGAGAAGCTATCTTGTCCACAACGAGGGAGAGAACTACGTGTATGGCGTCGCGAATCAAGGAACCACTCAGCATCTCCAGCAGTGTTGGGATATCATTTGGGCGCTTAAAATCTAATAGGCGAACATAGCGCCGCTCGTGGTTGTTTTCCACCGATATGTTGTAGGAAATCTACCTGACGGGCGAATGGGGTCGGACGCCCGCTGGCGTGACCCCCCAGGGTTTTATGGTGCATGCTATTCACGTGCCAGTATATTCGAGCGCGGGGGGACAGTTACGAGAGGCGGGCGTGCAGCGAGACGTTCCTACAAAGGTCGGGTTTAATTTGTTGTGTTGTCTGTTGAATTGATATCCGTTGGGGTTGGGGCTAGTGTTATCGTACCAGGACTTCGTAGTAGCAACGTGTAGGGTGTGGGAGGTCCCGTCTATAAGATAAAGTTACACCATTAGACTAGTCAGCGCTGACTGGTCTAATGGTGTAACTTTATCTTATACCGTCTCCTAGGGAAGCGCTATCGATTGGCGGAGAAAGGATCAGAGGTACGTTCAGCAACCGGTCGCATTTTTGTTCCAAGCAGAGCGACTTGTTTTCGTACCGTTGCGTCGGAAACTATCATCGCAAGCGGACCTTCCTCAAACTTCTACCTTTCTGAATAGTTTGCACCTTCCACAAGGCAAAGTAGCCGGTGAGTAATGACAAAGGAACTACGTATACATCGCCGAAGCACCTCCGGTCTCATTTTTTTTTATTATCTTGTAAAAGTATCGCGACCGAAACAAAGCCTTCGGAGTAATTCACCTTCGGAGTAATGCAAGCTTCGCAACACAGCACGAACCAAGCGTGTTGAGACGGATTGCCGAAGTCGCCTGCCGAAGCAGTCTATGTCACAAGCGTACAACCCCCCAAAATGTGCTTCATACGTTCGTGTTATGGGGCCGGGGGTATCGAACACGCTATCACAGTTTACGTCGACACAAAATTTTGGCAAGCATCGACATGAAAAGCTCTCCTGCTATCGAGGCCACCTCCTCCAAGTCTAACTACCCCTTCTATGAGGATCGTTCTATTTCAACAACTGCCTCGCTAGAAAATGTGCCAAATATTTAAAAAAAAACACGTACAATCTAGTCCCCTCTCTCCGTTCCCGTAACCCCTCAACCGCCGTCACAATTATTGATACGTACGCGTGTTGATACATGCCGAGACACCGTATAAATCGCGCAAGCATTCCATGTACTACGCGAGAAGAGCCACCTCATGCTTGGTTCGAGAAACAGCCTGGTCCCCATACTCCCCACCCATAACCGCGAAGTTCTTACCCCTTTCCCTGAAAGCCATCACCAAACCCCGTAACTCAAGCAACACTATGCTACCGACGAAAACGCAAACGGGCGCCACTGTGTTTGAGAAAGGACAGAAAAAAAACTACTTTGCGTCATAAATAGTCTTTTGGATAAAGCTGGCAATCCGGGTGGCGGGAATCGTCCCTACTCCTGCTTCCTTCAAGGTAGCCGCGAAATTTTTATCTTTGGCCAAGTCCACCAGCTCCGTCCAGGTGGGTAGCGCGTCGGTCACGAGACTCTTCGCCGCGTAGCGAATATTGGGCAGACACTCCCAAAATTCTTCGTAAAGAGTGTTTTTGATTAAGATTCCCATTGCATGGCAACGCCTCCTGCAGGAGTCCGGAACGTGGACGACATGAAGTCCAGCAAATCCTCGTGCTGTCTTTCGAATGGGTTGCAGACCATGCGGTTCAAGCAAACGGGGGCAGTACATTGAACCAAGAGCAAACAAAATGCATGTGAGAAGTGGAAGCGACAAGGATAATCAGACTACGTTATGTGGGCCCGAATGCGGAAGACAACTCCGGGAATATGCATGCACTCAGCCCACCAAGCGTACAGCCTTGCGTACGCTTTTCAGTCAACTGGGTCAGGGGTAATGCATATCGCGGGTCATGTCCTCTGCTAGATAAGCCCCAAACTCGGAAAACGCGGGGCGCCCAATCTTTTTTGTGAGGTACCAACGACTCGACGCATGATACGAGTCACCAACGCAACCCTTAGCGTCGTTCGGAACGAGTACTGGAGCCGAAGTATGACAACGTTTACCTGCGCAGCTTGCTTCTCCGCACGGTCGGCTTCAGCAGCCAACCTCTGTAGCCGATAATGCTCCGTCCTCGCGTTCCTGGCCTTCTCTCTGGCTGTAGAATCCCGTGCTTGCGCGTCCAGGACATCCTTCGTCTGGCGGGTTACCTCCAGGTGCTTTTCCGCCCTCTCCACATCCTCAACGTTGCGCTCCNCTCGACGCATGATACGAGTCACCAACGCAACCCTTAGCGTCGTTCGGAACGAGTACTGGAGCCGAAGTATGACAACGTTTACCTGCGCAGCTTGCTTCTCCGCACGGTCGGCTTCAGCAGCCAACCTCTGTAGCCGATAATGCTCCGTCCTCGCGTTCCTGGCCTTCTCTCTGGCTGTAGAATCCCGTGCTTGCGCGTCCAGGACATCCTTCGTCTGGCGGGTTACCTCCAGGTGCTTTTCCGCCCTCTCCACATCCTCAACGTTGCGCTCCCCCAGGCTTTGCGCCTGGTCTTGGAGTGACTCCATGATTGCTGTAACATTTTCCCTCGCCTCCTGCTGGGCTTGCCTGACTGCATCTGTCACGTGCGTTTCCTATGGCCGTATCAAATAGGAAAACGGTGCGGCATTGGAACTGATAAACCGGGATGGCTGGAGATTCGTCCAACCATTCGCGAATCGCGAAGTCTCGAACTTCAATGCTCGTGTGGCGGGTCGGGGTGGGGGGGGGCGCGTGCTCTTATGTTTTGCATGCCTTAGCGGTTGGACCATTGACCACGCGTCCTCGAGAGGACGGAGCAGTGTTCCCACAGGATCGATTACCGATGGCCAATCGTTCCTTTCTACTTTGCCAAAGGTGGCTCAAAAATGTCCTCCCTAGTCCGTCTGTCCTTACGATATCCGTTCCCTCCTTTTCAACCCACCTCCTATGCCCCAGTACAGCTACCGTTCACTCCTCTCTATTCCATGCCTCAAACATCTCCCTGTACGTCCCATCTATTTGTCCCAGCTCAGTCACGTACACTTCCCTCTTCTTCTTGTACCACGGACATTCCGCGACTACATGAACACGGTCTTCGCATCCGAACCCACAATCACATTTGAACTCGTCGTCTTCGTCGCCTACCGTCCTATGTCTTCNCTCCCTGTACGTTCCATCTATTTTTCCCAGCTCAGTCACGTACACTTCCCTCTCCTTCTTGTACAACGGACATTCCGCGACTACATGAACACGGTCTTCGCATTCGAAGCCGCAATCACATTTGAATTCGTCGTCTTCGTCGACGTTCTCCAGGGCCTATGTCCCCGGTCCTGAATTTGACCTTAAGCTTTGTTCCTGCATCCATTGGTCCATGTAGGTAGTCCTTGAACCCTATTCCTTCCTTCAATATTCCGTACACTTCTAGACCTTCCTTATCCTTGGTTTCTTTCTCTAGATTCTGTTCTTCTCTCTCGGCACAAGCAACATATATCTTTTCCTTGAACCCCTTTGGACCCTCCGTTTCCAGCGTTTCATCTTCGTCGATGCCGAGCCCCTTCCATACGTCCTCTACAACCTTGACCCATTCCGTGGGTTGTCTACCCCTCTTTTTGTTTGCCCACTTCGCCTCCCATACAATTCTCGGCAACCTCTCCTCTCCCATCCCGCACATGCGATACTGC